CTTGGTGGAAGGGTCTGAACAACAGAACCAAGGTCAAGACTGAGATATCTGCACAGTCCCCAAATGGCAGGGACAGTCTCCTGAAGGCAGATCATTGGTTTTAGACTTTATTAGGCCCTTACTTTAATTACCACATCATTACTTGCTCTGCTTCCACAAAAAGTATTCCATATTGTCGTTTTCCCTAAGTAACTGGAAATGTGATTGAAAGGGATGTTTAAAGTGAGACTAATTCAAGATTAAATAGTCACAAATTATATTATTGCTACATGTAAACAAATTACTTGCATATCTGATTTTATTCAGATTACTTTTCAAGTGGTAAATAATGCTTTATCACTTATATAGTGCTCTTACATCTTTAGAGTGCTTTTCTCACATTAATTAATCATCATTAAACACTCTGAGGTGGGTAGGTTAATACTATTATCCCCATTTTGCAGATGAAGAAATGTAGACTGAGAGGTTGTGATTTGCTCAAGGCCATATAGAAGAAATAGAATCAGAGCTGGGATTAGATCTGTGTCCCTAGCTTCTAATTTCAGAAGACCAGCCAGATTGTGAGCCGCAGTTTTGAAGCAAAATACTCAAGTGTGGATGCAGAAACAGCACACATTTTACTTGGCCTCCTAGATGCATAACTTGCCATTTGTTTAGATGGAAACTTTGCTTTTGTGCGATGCGGCGTATTTCCACATTCATACCCTCAGGTGTGGAAATAGCCTCTCATTCCTTCAGGAACTCTTCCAAATGTAATGGGGCTTTTTTATTTTCATAATTTTCATTGAAATTAACTTTCACCTTAAAAGAAACAGTTTATAGTTTTTTCGACTTGAACATAACTCTGTGACTCAGTTACAGTGGACTTAGCATTGGTACTCGAAACTCTACAGATGATACCAGTACCAGCTCTGTAGCTTATAGTTTTTCTATAAGCTGCGATGAATAAAATTCTGACTTGGCAGTTTGCCTTGCTGCTGTTCGGAACTGATGAGAGAGAGATTTACCCTCAGTGTGCTAAAACCATCACCTTTGTAGGCAGTGCCCAGCTGAGAGACGTTGGCAGCATGTACTCCACCTTGGAGAACTACCTAAATAAAACAAAACAGTCTTGGACTGGAGAGGAGAACAGAGCTATATGTGCACCACCTTTATAATCAGGAGCACCACAGAGACTTATATTCAGCTGTTCGTAACAGGAGCATGTACTGAAGCAACAGGTAAGGAAAAATGAGGTGGAACAAAGAGGTGCCCTTGTATGTGGGGAAAGGTGAGGTGATGTGGAACAGGTTGGGGACCCATGGGCACATCCAGGGAGGAATCAGCTCCATGCTGCAGCTTCCTTCTCGCCCGTCCTCATTCCCAAGGAAACACTGCATGTGACTGCCGTCCCTGGCTGCTGAGTTAGATCTGAGTTAGACTTCTGTTTCTAGCCCTGTTCCTGACCAGTGTTAGTGGTTAACATACTCAGCCTGCAAAATCAGTGCAGTGCTTTTCCAAAGTGCTATACATTTTAATTAATGGAAAAGTTTTTGAGTTCTTCAGATGGAAGATCATAGAGAAGGTGGAATATAAATAGATTGGGAAGCGAGAAAGTGTTGCAGACAAAAGGAATTTTCTGCCCTCAGAAAGCTAATGAAGTCTTAGGCTGTGTGATAGGAGTTGTTGGAGGTGATTTGAGTCACCGGTCTGCAGGCTGCCCTGCCCTGTGTTCAGGTTGGCACAGTGGAACTGGGGACAAATGGGAAGTGATCATAGCTGATCCTGCTGCTCTGCTGTGACTCTGCTTGTGAAACCTGGAAACAAGAGATTTCCTAAAAGTAGCAGTGTACGCTTCCCTTTAAATAGCTCAACCTGGTATTAATGAGAGCAGAACCAATGTGTAATCTCCTGCTTTAATGGTTTGTAAGCCAGAAGGAATTACACTTTAGGTGACAGGTGCACAAGGTGTGCTGTCACAGAGCTGGCCGCGGTGGCCACTCGCAGAGCCATGTCCAGCCTGGGTATGGCCCTGTCTGCTCAGGGGTTTGAGAAACTACGTTTCAACAAGTTGCTGTTGGAGGAAAGGAAGGAAACAAGGTGTCTGCCCATTTGCTTTCTTTTAGAACTATAGAATATGTTCTCTGACAGTGGATCCTGTTTTAATAACCAGCCCCATGATTAGGTAACGTTAAGTTTTCTGCAAGAGTAGTTTAATCAATATTTTAGTATGCAGATAAGCCATTGATAATCGTGTGCATTCACAAACTCATACATTTTTATGCCTAAAAGGGGAGAATTCAGAATTTATTGATACCACTTCCACTACGGTATCTTAAATGTAATGCGTAGTTAGTGGCACTAGGTGACCAGAGAACTTGAACTTAAATGATCAAACAAACAGGTCATTTATTTTATTTACCCTGAAAGGAATTTTCATTCTTTAATTGTAACTCTAGATAAAAATTATGTGTGGAAGATAGACTAATGATTTTCCTGTGTTTGATTAAAGGCAGAGAATCAAAGATTTGTTTATGTATTTATCTGTTTGGTTATTTTTTCTGTGATAAGACCAGTTGTTATCCAAACAGTGGGACTGACCTAATAAAGGATGTATGCATAATTGATCTCCATCTGTTTTTCAATATTTATTCTCTCTGTTTTTTAAATAGAGTTCAGTTCCAGAAGTGCAGCTGAAACATTTTTAAGGTGGTATATTTTAGCACCTCTGTAACAGGTCTCTTTTTATGCTGGCCACTGAAACGAAGAGGTTTGTTGTTGGTTCCACCCTTTAGTATCTCTTCAAGAGAGATTATATCAAAGAATAAGAATTAAATTAAAATTGATTGGTGTTATTGATTTTTCCTTTTTCTTTCTTTTAAAGGGGATAAAGGGCAATGGAAGCAGCATATGCCCCTATGCTGTTTTACTGATGGACTATTTTTTTAAAAACACTAAAAGCATATGTGCCCAATTTACATATTTACTAATTAAAAAAGCTTCCTGGAAACATTAAGTAGACTATCTTCTGTAACCTTTAACACTGTAGCTAATGGATATAGCCTGGAAATTTTCATAGAAGGTCTTCTAAATAATGTAAATGATTATGAATATGTAACTAGTTAATATGCAGCTACAAAAGGATTATCATGTAGAGGTTAATGAACATGCTACTCTTGTGGTTTGCAGGGCTTTTCTTTCTGTGCATTTAGCTCACTTCATGCATGGAAAGTCATGTATTGGGAGGGGAAAGCTTCCTGTCTTTTCCATCTTCATCTGTAATGGGGCAATTAAACTGGAACTTTCTTCAAGGATTTCATAAACATTTTTGTGTGCTTGATTATGTTGTGTACTTCACAATCATGACCAAATCTGAAAGAATGAAGGATGTTGGTAGAATGGGCTCTTCCTCCTTGACTTGTTAGTGGTGGGCTCCATTGTGTGTTAGCGTTGTGATCAACGCAGCTGTTATCAACTGTTGTGATCATTGCAGCTCTGTATGATTTATACCTTTTATGAAACTTTGCTGTTAAAATCGGCTTAATGTAATAATATGAATTACTTTTCTGAGGTGATGTCCTTTCAGAAGTCTGTATATTTACTCTTAACCTTAAAAATAGTTAGCTTACACTTTAAGGAAAGTATTTGCTAGGCAGTTGATTTATAGGACTTTAAAGCAAATTATAAATTTAAACTTGGCTTACGCAAGATCAGCTACCTGGCCTGATTTCCTGATGGGTTATGAAATGGTGTGACCACAAATGTAGAGCTGATCCTTTTCATTTAAGTACTTCACTCTCTTTAAAGAATTATTAGCTCACAAAGTAGTCCCACATTTTTTTTACTCCTATGTGAGTAGGAAGTGCAGGGTCTGAGGTCTGTTCTGCAATAGCTGCACATATGCTAACTCACAAAAAATTGTATTTCATTCTGTTGTTTGGGAAAAAAAAAAAGAATTATCTGCTCCAGTGATTTCAGTGGTACTTGAATGCATGTTATTGTTTTCCCTGCAAATTTTCTCATTAATTGCTTTCAAATGTTAGCATTATTTTGGCTATAGGAAAAATGAAATTTGTAAAAAAAAAAAAATCAGGAAAATGCTTATATTGAGAATATGTCTAGACATATTTAATTGCATCATGGCTTCATTGCATTTCATATAATTGAATGAAATTGTTTGTGTTATATTTTTGGTAACCATTATTCAGAGATCAGAATATATTTTGAAAGACAAAATCTCCACATAATTATGGCAGAGAAGGTCACAGGTTTCAGTATCTTGTCTGTTTGCTAGATCTACAGTCTAAAAAATTACAGTTAAAAGAAGAAAAAAGTATTTCATTTTAACAATGGAGTCGATTTTGTAAATTATTTTGAATCTCTGGGGAAAACCTGTAGCATAAAGAAATAGGTGAAATATTCAGATTAAAACTTCTTTTTCTTAACACCCAGAAAGAACAGAAGGGAAACCAGGAGTCCATAACGGTGTCAAATATCCTTGTATTTAAACACCACAACATTAATTTGTGCTTTTTCAGATTAAAATGGCCAGTGGAAACGTTTATTGATGTACTGGTAAAGAAAAAGATGGTTTTGGTGCTGTGGTGTTCATTTGTTTTTTGTTTTTTAATGACTGAGTATGGAAGTTGCATTGATGTCTTCTTATAATTTATGTTGTTTTCTTATTCTGCAAACATGTAACACTGAAAATAGATCTGCAGATTGTACAAACTACTACTTATCTTATATCATGTGTCACCTAGTAGTTATGGAGCAGGTATTGTACCAAAATATGAATTGAAAAGCTGTTATTTTTTCTGTGGTTATCAGTCTGCATTAGTGTGTGATAAAGTGTGCTGCTTAAGAACTACCGTTCACATGCCTTTGCACTGACAAATAAAAATGTATATGGAGACACCACCAAATCTGTAAAGCTACTGTTCTAGTTTCTGATGCATTGACATTGTGGCTGTGTGCTTAGCCTTGTTTTTTTCATGAGTAGTTATCTGTTTTAATGACAGGTGGTCACTAGCTGCCAAGAAAAAATCCAGCACTGGTAAGTGAAAAATATTTGATTACATGCCTAAAATACTGATGAGTAACCTAGTTATATTTTAGTAAAAAAGTATTGCTATTTATTCTACTGATAGTCAAATTCTACTAGCATGTTTTGGGGATTATAGTTAGTGATAGCTCTGAATTGTTGCAGTGTACTCTCTTTAAAATGTATATTCCACTGATATAATTACTTTAAATCACAAATGCAGTGAGCCTTAATGTTTATACATCTGTTTTAAACACCCAGCTCATTTTTCCTCAAGTAACCTTGTGGGATGAATGCTGGATTTGGCTGGTTGGTGAAAAGGTACTGCTAGGGTTGAAGGAACTGTTGTTCCTGTTTTCTTTCTGACTATGGAGCAAGTAGGGAAATTATGCTTTCCCCCCCTCCATGTGTTAAACAATGTGAAAGTAATGTTTCCCTTTCCCAACCCCCAGTAAAAAGTATGTGATAGCTTAGTTTGCAATGCTTAGAAAGAAAGGGTTTGTTACGTGAAAAAATTATCTCTGGGCGCTTTTTTCTCTGTTGGCAATCTATGGTTCATAGAAAACATGCTTAGTAAATAATAGTTTTGTGTGGCATCTGAGGAAAATGTACATTTAATGGTGAATGAAATCTTATATTATGAGTTACTGTGAGATACAATGGTTGATCTTACAGATACCAAATTACAATATATCCATGCTGTGTTTACCATGATTTTACTGAGAGAACAACAGGAGCTGTCTTGATTATTGTCTGCAGGGTTATTGCAGAATCACAGCAACTGCCCCTTTAGTGGCGAGATTAAACCTTTGGTTATACACCATCAAGCATATAATATTTTAAATTTATTTTAAGAGGCTTTTTCTTCATGCCTGAAAGATCTCCAAGCAAATAATTTATATTTAGTGTATATCAAATGTTTTTAGTTTAAATGCACATAGGCTGCAAGCACTGGATAAGAGGAAAAAAATCAAGGCAATCTATACACATCATCATATTAAATTCTGACTATTGGCTCGCAAAAATAATCAAAAATAATTTGTTTCATTTATGTTTAAAATTCAGAGGCTGCATTAATTTTCAATAAGGGAAATACTATTAAAATGCCTGCTGGTGCTGCTGTGGTGAAGTCAGGCAAAATATCCCCAGCACACGTACTTTCTCAGAAGCTTTGTAGTGTCCGTACCAGTTTGGTCCTGTGTGAAATTCTGCCTGTACATTCTTCACAAAGAGATAGTATTTTTCAGAAATAAACTGAAATTCAAACAGTATATTAAAAGTTTGGAAAGTTGTGACAGTTATCTCCTCTTATAAATATGGCTGAGGTTTGTGGAGTGGAGTGGGAGGCTTGGCTGTGAAGGAGGAGTTGTTCATGAGTTTGCTTTTTTATGGCCCCATGAACTTGGGGGTTTGGGGCACAGAATGCCAAAAAGAAACTTAACACACTGATGTCTTCTCTAGAAAAGCACTTTATACACATAAAATCTCTACTTTATAAAAAATTATTTAAAATTTAGTACCCTTACTTAGATCTTGATTGTGCAAGAGCTGAGTGCTCTTGTTTCCACTGAGTAATTTGTTCATATAAGACCTTTTAAGTAGTCAGTGACACAGAAGAATGTTAAATAGAATTGGGTGAATAACAATAGGGTTTTAAAATGCTCAATTTCAATATATTTCCATTAATTTTTTTTCTTTTTAATATTTCAGTACACTTCTTGAAGCATATTTCTAAAGCGAATCCACTAGTGGGTCTGGTAGGGGATTAAACATCTAGACATGCATTTCCCCTTGTTCACAGGTGGAGTCCCAATATTCATCCTCCCTGTTCACTTTAGTTCTTCATTGTGTATGAGGACCGAGCATGGCCTAGCCCAGTCAGAGCTTGCGTGACCATCAGCTGCAGGTGAAGAGGGAGGTCAGCTTCCTTCCTTAACTAATACTGTTTCAGGTCAATTAATCAAAATGATTGATTCTAATTTTCTTTATCTTGATGGTCCAGTTGAGGATGTGGCCACACTTTTAGAAATTCCCATGGTGGAGGCTTGATCAGCAAAGGCCAGTAGTCCCACTGGAAAAAGAAACATATGTTGTTCTGTAAAGCAAAACAGCTTTTGTAGCAAGTGATTTCTGTTGTACCCTAATTATTTGGGAACAGGCAGCAGTCAGACCTGAAAGGCAGTATCTTCTTTTCAGATTAATGGAGTAATGTTGAGTGACTTCCAGCCATGAAACGATGGGGATGTTTAATCCTGCTATGAGTGGGGAATTTTCATACCATTCTCTTCCCGTGGAGCCTTCCCTTCACGTTTGAGACATGGGCAAGGCCTTCAGCTTGGGGATCGTGTTTGTTTTTCAGCGAGTAGTAGCGTCAGTGTCCATTTCTCAGTTACAGATCTCTGTGAGGCAAAGGCTGGTTTCTGTCAATATCTTTAAGTAACTGATTGTTGACACCGAGTTGATATTATATTGCTTCCCCCAAAAAACATCTTGGTGAGTTCTGTTAAGATTCATGAGTTTGGCCTTCCTCTTTGAGGGAAGTGAATTATATTTTCACTTTGATGGTGGCAGTGGACTGAGAAACTTGCCTAAAATGTCTGGGAGAAATCTGCTGTCAAACCAAAGGAGCAGCAAGCAGCTTTTGTAAATCAGTTATATGGAATACGGTTTTAATGCCCAAATGGCATAAAAACCTAATTTTTTTTTTCTTTAGGACCAGTTCAGCAACTTAAAATATCAAGTACTTCAGGTATAAAGTAGGTTGATTACAGCGAAGTTCAACTGTGGAAGCAAATGAGTCAAAACATAGGCGTATCAGATAATTTTACATATCGAATGCTGAAGAAGATTTCATTCTGCTTATGAATCTGAGAAAATCGATAATATTTTGAGAGTTGTGTTATCAACTATGACATTCATTTTTCAGCACATTTATAGATTGCTTTCCTGAATCATCCTCAGAAAACCTGTAATTTGCATCTTGGGTCAACGTTGTTAAGTGTGCTGCACCATGCTTTCAGTTGCCTTTTATTGCAGAATTTACTACCACATATATGTTTACTATTTTGAAGTACAAGTAAACAATATTATCGAACCTGACATTTATATGCTAGCTACTTCATGCAGGAGCTGATTTCTGACCATTTTCAGAATGGCAGTGGTCCGTTAAAAGACTTTTTCCAGCTGAATTTAAGTATTTAAAAATGTCTTCACAAAAGAAGACTTATTTAGAGGGAGTGTGGTTGCTTGTTTTGCACACAAAGGAAAATCCCCATAGCAATTGAATTGCTGTGTCTTGCAAAGTCCTCTGAAGAGCCAGGTATCTACCATGAGAATAATTTTGTCTAAATTCACCAAGCCATTTCTGTCTTGGGTAGCAGCTTGAGCCTTACTGATATTCTGGATAGACAAGGAGCAGAAGGGATGTTCCTCATCTGTATTGTCCCTTGTCAGGGATTGAGGATGTGATAGAATCCTGGTGGTCAAGCCATCTTTCAGGAGTGTTGGCTCTTGGTAGGAACACAGGTGAAAGTCAGAATTAAATAAAATTTTACCTATTTATGTCAGCCTAAACCAAGGTAATGAACCCTTTAATACAAGTGCTTCTTTGAAGAATTTGCCTCTTATAAAGTATAAACTGGATTTTCAATTACTTTTCTAAATATTGATGGTGGTATAACTGTTGAAGATGGATATGCCAGGTCCTAGTGAAAGAACTGATTATTTGCATGATAAAAAAATCAAATTTGGAAAGAGACATGCACAATCTAAAATAATCATGTCCCTATTTGAATACACGTTATTCTAAAATAATTTAGCTACTATGTTTGTCTTCCAAAGTATTTTATAAATAAGTTATTAATCTATTAACTTCATGTGTTTAAGAGCAAAATAGTTTGTTTTTCTGTATTTTTTGTGTGTTGTTCAATTAGTAGCAGAAAAATATTAACACTTTACTTAAGATATGAAATTGAATCACCGAATTTGTCAACAGGAAGAAGGTGGAGAGCGATTATGATGCTCTTCAGGAACGACTCCGTACGTTGCCCGACAAACTGTCCTACGATATCATGGTATGTGCACTGTAGAGCTGACACAAGAAAATGGGCTAAATTTTTAATAACTGAAGTATCTGCACAGGTGGTGAGGTGTTACTCAGGTTGCCACACAGCACTTCGTAATGTTACATTTAGTATAATAATGGTTAAACCTTTGCTTTTGTTTCTTTCTCTTTTCTTTGAAATCCATTATAAATTACAGTGTTGCTGACAACTAAGAACTGATGACATAAATGCTAACACAAAACCTGACATGTTTGATATGTAAATCTATTGTATAGAAAACTATAATTATGACTGAATTACCGTACTTGGTCATTACCTGAGAAGAAAGTGGCCATAGTATTTCCTGATTCATGGAAATAAACCCTAGAACATTGATTTTTACATAAAAAGGTGCTGCTAATTTTTGTTCCACCGATCTGCACATTGACATAGCGATCTTTTCTGGTGCTTTGAATCTTCCCTAACAGCTGCACAGCTTCCTGGGTAAACTTTACCTTGTTGTCATGCACTCACCAGAATTTTGACCAAATTCACTTTTCTGTATTTCTTTTTTGCCTCCTCTGTTCTCAGGTCTAGTTCCATATCTTTGAAGGGAGGGAAGTTGTACTGTAAATAACTATGGCTAGTTTGAACACAAAGTGCCTGACTGCTTCCTTGGCAGCCTGGCTCAGCATATAGAGTTGAGCTGTTAGTAAGACAGCTTTGGAATATGCTTACTGTGTGGGAAAAGAGAGTGTTTCCCTTTCCTGTGCTAATGATTCAGCTCTGGATTTTGTGTGTAGTCCCTTTACCATGTGCGTATGTGTGGCCACATGATGTAAAGCAAAAAGATTGTGTTGTTTCGAAGCACAGAAAAACCCTTATTTTTTAAAAAAGCTAGATAGGCCTTATTCTTAGTTAAAGCAGTGATGTAAACTCACATCTGTTATTTTAAATGTATATAAATAGTTCCTATCCTGTTAGCCAAATATTTTCATATGTTTTCAATTTTGCTTTCATCATTTTGAGGGAAGAGTGAACAGGCAAATGGTGCAGTCTGCTACTTGGAAACCAAGTCAGAAAGGGTGCATATGTAGGAAGAGCACATTCTGCATAGTCTTAAGGTCGGAATCTTGCCTACGGCAGAACTGTTTCAAGCATTGGTACCCTCCTGGATGCTGAATCACAGAATCACAGATTATTAGGAGTTGGAAGGGACTTTGAAAGCTCATCCAGTCCAACCCCCCTGCCAGAGCAGGATCACCTAGACTAGGTCACACAGGAATGTGTCCAGGCAGGTCTTGAATGTCTCCAGAGAAGCTAGGGAAGATTGCTTTCCAGGGAAACAGATCTGCTAGCATCAAAAGAAAGAGCTCCAAGGAAACAGAATCCTCTCTCTTTCAAGGGAAAACTTGAGCTGCCTGTGGCTTTTAGCTTTTTGCCACCTCCACTTTAATTTTAATTTGATTTTGGTCTCCTAATTTCTTTGCCATTTAAGCCCAAAGGCAGCATTGCAGGTGGGAGTAGGTCTGAGGCTAAGGATGCAGGAGACAGGATGAGGGTCGCCAAGGCTCCTTCTCAGCAGTACGACTTGCCCAGCCATCATCTGTAAAGTGGGGGCTGTGAAAGGTGTCTTAAATCATAAAAAGAACGTCCCATATATTGAAATCTTCCCATATATTGAAATCTGTATTAAAAGGGAGGTTACATCTTCTAAGAAGCACCTCTTAAAGTTACAAAATGTGTTTATCATCACTGTACTCCCATCTGAAGTGTTCTGGTTCTGTGTGGTGTTCTGGTGCCTGGAGAGTCGCTGGAGGACAGGCGGTGCTTGGTGGAGCATTGCTTGGAGTTTGAGGTCTGCACACTGGTGGGTGGTAAAACTGGTGGGATTAAGCATGGTCTGTGATCCTGTCGGTAGCCCCACAAACTTAGACTGAGGTTTCTAGGTACTTACTATCAGCAATACAGATACTGAGAAAAAGCAACTCATCTTTTGAGTTGACCATACCTATTTAGGTATTTTAAAAGTTTTAGCAAAGCTGAACTTGCTTTTATTAGGAAATGAATGTAGTCTGTATAACAAATATGTAACTCACCTAAATGATAATCTTTTTATTATCAAGGCTCACGTGTTAGGATTAAGTGAATTTGTTTTCCGTGTGAGCATTGAGCTATGCTATAGTTTTATGTCACAAAACAGGTTTTCTAGTTAAATACCACTTCCCTGATTTTGTAAATACAGTACTAAATTCAGTGGATCTGAGAATTTGAATATTTATGAAGGGTTAGTCATTAAATAACTGCTGTAGATTTTTTATTTCTTTAACTCTGTGTTACCTTTTTAAAAAAACCTAGGACATGAATGACTGTCTAGGTTTTATTTTCACTATTGATTTTCAGCTGTTTCTTCTGTGCCTTTGACAGGTACCTTTTGGTCCTCTTGCCTTCATGCCAGGAAAACTTGTCCACACCAATGAGGTTACTGTTCTGCTTGGGGACAACTGGTTCTCAAAATGCTCAGCAAAGCAGGCTGTTGAGCTGGTTGAGCACAGAAAAAAACGTATGTATGTTTCTGAATATAATTTAATAGTCAAAGTTTTGTATCTTTGTATTATTATATAAAATTAGGAGCTTCTACACTGTTCTTTTTTTTGTGAGCTCGCTATCAAGTCCCATTCAGATGTAATACCAATTTAGCACCTTATTTTCCATCTTTACTTGGTATTTTATTAGATATATCTTTATTTTTTTAAACATCTATGCCGAGTTTTTTTTTAATGATACATCAGCTTAAGTGACCAAATTCAGGTTTTGATGTTAGATGTTAGAATACAAGATCAGTCAAGATTTGTTAATTTATTATACACAAAAGTAAAAAAAAAAAAAAAGAAAAAAACAAACTAAAAAGCCCCTTTCAGTTTTCGTTCATGTGAGAAATGCTGCATTCTCTTCCAGAAAGTGGAATCACATTGTACTTTTAGCTATCTTATTCCCTATATTCTGTTCCTTTTTCTCATCTCTTATTTATTTTCTGCCTTGTCCTCTGTTTTGTTTTGTTTTTCCTTTGCCCATATAATTTCCCAGGTTTCTTCTCCCTCTACACATGCTTTACTCCTGCTTGGTTTTATTCCTTCATTGCCACTCAGCTGCATTTCTTCCTCCTGCCCTTGAGGCTCCTATCCATTGATGTGGAGAGATCCACTGAATCTCTTTATTTCAAGTGCTGTTGGTGATCACCAAATTCATGCTTGTATAGCAGTAGATCACAGGGGCAGATAGGCAATTCCTGGTTTTGTTTTCAGCTCTTTTGAGTTGGTGGTGGGATCTTGGCTTTGGAGAGCAGGAACCACTGGCATCTGTTGTGCATGGTGGGCTTTAGAACCTCTTTATGTTTGAAAGAATGAAAGCCTAAAACATTTGATGTAAGTGTCAAGGAAGGAAAAGCACAACAAAATGGAAAATAAATTGGTACCTATCAGCTTTTGCTGTTTGCTTCAGATAAGCATTTGAGTAAATTTTTTTCATGGTGGTTTTACCTATAATCTGTCTCATTTCTGAATGAGTGCTCGCTGCAGCTTTACCCTCTGTGTGTTACAACTAGCACAACTGTTTACACTGGGTTTTTGTTTATGAGTTCAGCTAGCCATGTTGCGGCCTGCAGCAGAATACCTCAGAAGAGCTTCCCATCTGAGTACACTTTTTTTTCAATTCTGTGCAAGCAAATTTGTGTAAGAAAAGTTTTTTTAACACAAATTCATTTGCTGTATTACTTTAAAATGTCCCTTTATGATGAACATTACCAAAAGTATATAATTTGTGTTTTATCTGTTATCTTTCTTAATCTAGTTTTCCTAAAACAACTTAGGAATTTTCATTCTTACTGAACTGAATCTCCGTTATTTATTGTGACTCTTGCCAGATCTCAGGTCCATATCTTTTTCCTTGATCGTCTGCTGTTTTTTTAAGTGCTGGAGAATATTTTTGTCACTGTTACATTCAGTGAAATCATTTGACCTTTGCAGAGTAGATGTTTGAACATTAAGTAGTCTGCTGGGAGACACACAATAAATGCTGGACTCTTTCCTTTATGATCTTTTAAATTGCATTTAAAATAAGTACTCAGAAATACTCATTTCTTTTAAAGCAAAATTGTCATTGATGCCTGGATATAAACCCTCCATTCAGCTGATAGTTCACTTCAGCTGTGTGATGGCTGCCAGTGGGAGGCTCCAAAACACTGGTATTAACTAAAAACTTTTTATTTAAAGGGCTGTTTTCACTTTTGGATTATAAAAACTGTATTAGTACATACGATTCTGAAAAAAAAAATAATTCTTTCATGGATACACTTTTCTCCTTTAAAAATTATAACTGACTTAAACTCTTTCAATTATTTTCACACTAAATGAGGACAACTTATAGGAGAATACTGGAGATTTTGTTTGTTTATTCTAATTAGAAAAAACATATTCGTGAAAGACCTGTAGGCCATTGCTATATAATGTGTATTGGCCACTTGTGGCACAAATGTGAAAGACTGATGTTTCACAAGTATTAGTTTAAAGTCTCTTGTGCATTGCACTGTAGTTATTTTCATAACTGGCATTTCATTTCACTGGCATTTTTTGAGCATAGGAGCTTCATAGTTTCCAGGGTGATGTATATTGGGCATTATCAGTACATTGACACAATGTGATTTGATTTTTAGTACATAATCTTTTTGTTTTGGACACAAAATTTGTGAGTAGGTCACACACTCTGGAAAAGAGGGCATGCTTACTGCAGGGGATTACATTGCACGCAGTGCCGAATGTCCTGTGTGCCAGTTGCAAGGTCCTAACGCAGCAAAGCTTTTTTTAAGCATGTACTTAAGGCCAATGTGTGCTTAAAGGCTTTGATATATAGGAATTGGGGTCTGAACAGGGCAAAGAAAGGCTCATGCTGAAACTGCTTCCCAAACAGAAAGCTGGCAATATTTGTTGATGGTTTGTTTCTTCACTGACCTACTTTTTTTTATCCAGTATTACTGTACTTAATTTAGATGGGTATTTTTTCATAACTAGCTGGTCAAATCTGTTCAAATAACTGAAATGAACTTAATTAGTAGAACACTAATTGAGTGCTTTAACAGAAATTGAAAGTTATAAGGAAATAAATACAGGACATTTTCATTGCTTACCGTATCTTGTGTCCCACTCTCCTGAGTTGTGAGGAGTGGGAGAGCATCTATTCAGGCTAGAGAAGGGTAAGAGATTCCTGTGATTCACTCACTTCTGAGTGTTGTTTCTTGCAGGTTCTGGGGAGTTTTCTTTATTGCCTTTGACTGGTTTTTCATGGCTCTGCCCATTGAAGACCTCTGGTCCCCAGGGGTGACCCTGTTTGCATTTGAGGACACCACTGCCATAACAGTTAATTTGAGGAAGGTTCACAGAAATTTTTTGTTACAGTTTGATTCCTTCCGTGTATGCTGGATGTGTGCAAGAATGGACAATGTGAATTTGTGTGCTTAAGCAGTAATAGTGCCAGATAAATCAGTGTCAGTGAGGATAAAGCCTTGGAAGTTAGGGGTAGCAATAAGAGTGTACTATATATAAAGGTTTTAAATACTGCTTAGTACTAATTAGGTCATCCTTTTTGTCTTAGTAGTTTTGTTAAATTTGCTTTTTAAAGGAGAATGAGTGAAAAAATGTTTGCTTCTGTGGAATGGAGAAATGCCCAGCGACAGCAGATTAATTTCTTGGTTAAAATTTATTTAATTGAAAGGAATAATTGAAGGGTGACTGTACTGAATTTTAACAGTAAATGCACTTTAACTGACATAGCTGTAGAAAGCCCTATTTTGAGGATACATTTTTGTTTGCTTAGCTTTTGATTTAGATGCAAACTGCTCAGCATTGTGATTGGTTGACATGTAATTGGTAAAATTTGGGACAATCACTCATGTCAAATGTTACTTTTTCATAAAATATTGATCATATCTTCTTGAATAATATTTGAGTGGCAGTAGATCTTTCATTTGCACATTTTTGTAACATCCTAGATGTGCAGTGCGTTCCAGAACTGTTAAAAAAATAAGTATAGTGAAGTTTATGAAATTGCTAAGTATATTTTTAATTGTTTTAAATTTCTTGCAGTTTGTTAAACCAGGTAGTACAGATAATGGGAAACACTTTACACATATGTTTGTATGTAAAAACGTGAAGAAATAGTGAAGTAGATTAAAGGATATGCACACCAAATTCCATTATAATAAAAGAAATTAGCTTTTTAAGTATGTCACAGTTTAGCACAACAATAATGCAATTGTAGTTTTTTCGCTTACAATTATCTTGCTTAAGGTACTTCATAATATTTCTGTTCTCCTCAAGGCAAGACTGTATTGTCTCAGAATTCAAAGAGGGAATAAAGATTCTTTTTGTGAATATGGGATTATATCTTTTACGTGTTTGTGATGATATAAATTACTTTTTTTCCTCTATATCAGTAATCGCATTAATTCTTTAAGATAGTAAATTTTTCATTACAATAGTCCCTGTGGTAGTTACTATAGAAAGAAATTAAATAGATTTTTCTTGTAAATATTTGTGGATTAATTCAGTATGCTAGGTATTCCAAGTGTCTAAACACTTTAAAAGGTGGGCAATTAAAACATAGACACAGAACTAGGAGTGGTTTTATTGTGTCAAAAATTTATCAGCTAAAAAAAAAAATCCCACTTAAAGGAGAATTGTTGAACTACTTAGCAATTGTGTCTTCAGTATATGTAAGAATACCCTTGCAGTGTCATGCAGCAAATGAATTCATGAAATGAAAATACTGATTACATTAACATACAGTATTGTGATAGTACCCAATTGTAAATTGCAGTATGTAACCTTTAATACAAATATTTGTGTCAATCAAAATTGACCGATAGCTTAGTACACAGGGTTTAAAAGATACCATTGTTTTTAATAAATAAGATGATCCAGGCGGATGGAGACCAGTTTGAATTTGTTCCTTATCAGCATTTCCAGAAAAAAGGATATTGTCTCCAAATTATATGATAGTGAGGCTTCCCGTTTCCCATCTGTGAGTGACTGAGGCCTTTAGAGATTTTAATGTTTCATCCAAGGATGAAAATAACTGCCTTTATATTCTAAAGAATGTAACACAAACTTGCCTACTCACTTTTTTTGGGGAAAAGAACAAAAAATGAAGGCAATGTTAGAAAGAAGTCTAGCTGTTGCTTTTCTTTATAAAAAAAAACAACCCTGTTTTTCTGCATGCTGGAACATTTTCTTTCACTGTGCTTTTGAGCATTTTTTTACCATTTTTTGTGACTAGCACTTTTGAGTTTGATAACCTCCAGCAGGTCCTTCCTTACCCTTGTTAAGTTAGGAGCTGATTTGGTGGAGTGTTAAGTGCTCTAAATTTGCTCTGCAGTTCCCGGGAGGTGCTTGGTTTCTCACAGGACCACAGTCCAGGTATTTTAACCAGAACACTGTGGAAGAAAGTACAGAGAATGGACTCCTTTCTGTATGTTAGATATTGTGATTCAAAGAAGCCTCTGCCTTTTTA